CTGAAGCTTGGGGAATGCCTCCGCTTTGTTGGATAATAGTATGGTCCACACAAAACTCGAATAGTCGTCAACAATGTTCATTGCATAATTATGCCCACATCGTGAGGTAACAGCCATCGGGCCTGACAAATCTACCCAAACCTTTTCTAATCTCCTCGTAGCCCGGTGCCCCTTCCCTTCCTCACGCTTCTTCGGCACTTCTATGCAAGGGTACTACACAATTTGCATTTAGAAGCTTTGGAAGAGAAGGATGCAGGCATACCTTTGACCATGCCCTTACGGGCCATCTCTTGGACGGTTTGGTAATTGGCATGGCCTAGACGGCAATGCCAGGTTTCCAAGTCTGGCATGCGAGTAATGGCAAAGGCATGTTCTGCAGTTGGCGAGTGGAGGTCGAGGGACCAGAGGCGTTTATCGGGTAGGTTTATGCGTAGGGCGAGGAGAGCGCAGGTTGATTTGTCATTGATATAGCATGCATCGTTGTCAAAGAAGAGGGTTGCATTGGAGTCGAGGATGACAGATGAGACGGAGACAAGGCGAACTGCCGCGGCGGGAACAAAGAGTGCGTCTCGAAGAATGAGGTATTTCCCCCGGGAGATGCGCAATTTGATGTCGCCGCAACCAATGGCAGTGATGAATGAACCGCCAACACCCTTGATCGTGTGTGCTGAGATGGGGCGAAGGGTGATGAAGTCGGTACGGTCAGGCGAGATGTGCGCTGTGGCTCCAGTGTCGACGTAAAATGGGCAGGTGTCAGTGGAGATGGGGGTGGACTGGGATTGGTGGAGCGGCTCGATGACGATGGCTGCGATGTCAACTTGACGGCTGGCAATGTTCCAGTTGACGCTGGCGCGGAAGCATCTGTTGTCAGTAGACCAGTCACGGATGTGCTCAGCAGGCGGTAAGTTGGTGTGGTCAGGGTGAGGTGGGGGTGACGTGCCAGTAGTGCCAGCTGGGGGTGGCATGGGCGCTTCGGTGGGCGCTTGAGTAAAAGGAACCTCACCAATGGCCATAAAGGCCGATGAATAACCCCACACTGCCTCCCCTCGCTCTAAGTCGTCCGTAGAGTACACCATGGTGTCAATGTTGTCGGTACACATGTGTGTTTGCGAGCTAACACCGATGAGGGCGTGGGTTTGGACGGGCTTGGCATCTTCGGGCATGCAGACGAGGTACATGGCACCCGTGGACTCGTCTTTGACCGTCCGGGTGATCATTGTGGGGGTGGTGGAGGTGGAGGTTGTTGGTTTGGGGTTCTTTGCTTCCCGATCCTTCATGCGTTGTGCCTTAGATTCGGTTATCGTCTTCCCTGCCATGCCTCTGTTGGGAGAGATACAATATTGGACAGTGTGTCCCGGTTTCTTGCAGTTGGAGCAGACGTTGTTGTCCTTGCGTTTCTTGTCCTGAATGGACGCGCTGAGAGCGATGGATTGCATATCAGAAGCACTTTGTCGTGCGTTAGCTTTGATGAGGGATTCACGTTCCTCAACAAATTTTCGAATGTCGGTAGGGGTGAAAGGTTCGTTCTTGGTGGCATTGTTGATGCGGGTCTGGAGATCGAACTGAATGTTCTGAACGTCGGCCTTGGAGAAGTAGTTGAGAGCGACGATGCTTTTGAAGAGATCGAGCGTGATGTCACCCATACGCCACGCCCGTTTGAGCATGTTGAAGAGATCATCGAGCCCTTTTGTGTACTCGTCCCCAACGCTCGCACGTTTTCCCAGCGCATCCTTGATGAGGTAGACTTGCGAGACAGGGCCAGCCTTCTTGTGACGCTGCTGA